ATGTGGAAGGGGAGCTCTACTGTAAAGGGATTCTAAAATGCAACAGGGGCTTTTAAAGTAGAAGAGGGGACTATCATATAAAGGGGGAATTCTAATATGCATCAGGAGCTTCTGATGTAGAGGAGGGGACTTATATGAAAGGGGGGCTCTAATGAAGAGTAGGGGACTCTCATATGAAAAGGGAGCTCTGCTGTTAAGGGGGGATTCTAATATGCAACAGGGGCTTCTGATGTAAATGGGGCTCTGACATGAAACCGGGGTTCTGATGTAGAGGAGGGGACTCTCGTGTGATAGAGGGACTCAGATGTAAAAAAAAAGGGGGGGGGGGGATTATAATACTGAAAAGGGGCTCTTATATAAAATGGGGACTCATATGAAAGGTGGGCTCCGATGAAAAGGGGGATTCTAATATGCTACATGGGCTTCTGGTGTAAATGGGCCTCTGATGTAAAGGTGGGGATTCAGATATGGAAGCGGGGCTCTGATGTAAAGGGGGAATTCTAATAGGAAACGGGCTCTGATATGAAGGGGGGTTCTCATATCAAAGAAGGACTCTGATGTAAAAGGGAGGACTCATGAAATAGGGGGGAACTCTGATATGGAAGGGGGCTCTAATGTGAAAGGGGGCTCCTCATTTGAACGGGAAACCGTTTTTTGCCTGGGGTCCCCCTTTAAATCCATACTAGGACATGGGTTTGGAGGGGCCACACGTCATTTATTTTACATTTTAGACAGGTGCCTCAAGATTTTGCATACCTTTTTAAAGGTTTTTAGAAACTGAAAAAAGGTTGAGCACTGATCTACATACAAGAGTCATGTGTATATTTACTTAAATCTTAGTGTGCTAGGAAATCTTGAATGAACGGGCTGTGATGTAAATCACAGACTGTTCATTCATCACTGGGGACACATAGCACAATGTGTCCCCAGTTATTTACAAACACTGGAGTGATCAGACGATCGCTCCAGTGTTTGTCCTTCTCACACGGAGCATCGGTAAATATCAATTGTCAGCTCGCACACCCCTAAGGCCGGCCCTGAGTGTGCTTTATGTATTTCTGTGCATTTCTTACATTTCTGTGCAATAATTCAGCATTAGGCTCCATTCAAACTTGAGCTGAGGGTAATTGGTAGTTTGTTCTGCCATTTTTGCGCTCATTTCAGGCTTGAGCATTTTTTTCTAATGATTATTTTTACCCAATGAAAAGGTAGTTAGATGCAAAACTCCCAGGTTTTTCTGGAGATTTTGCACCTAGCAACCGTCTCCTCCTCCTAATAACTAGCTTTGCATTTCTCTTCAATTGTCCCTTTTTATGGTCTCGTGTATAGACCTCTATGTAATACTACACTAAGTGGTCTATATATGAATGTTTTCACCCATTTTGAATTGAATATTCTGCAAAAAATGGATGAAGCTTGGGAAAAAGTAGTGTGAGCCTTGGGTGAAAACACTGATAAATGTACCCCTAAACTTTTCATTTGAACTTTGAATCCTTGCATTTTTTTTATTTTAAGGAGGTAAGTGTTTTTCCCCATAGTTCTCCTAAGGGTCACGGGAGGACACAAACTAGCATCCTCCCGTGACCAAAAGCTCAGTACGGATCCCGACATTACTGTCGAGTTCCACCCAGCTGCGTGATTGACAACTGGCTCTGCCTACCTAGAGGCAGAGCCTGCTGTACCCACCCCCTCCCCTGTCCGTTCCACCAGTCAGCATTGGAGGGGGGGAATCCCTGCACGGGTCTCTGCAGGGATATGATCGAGAAGTGAGCGAGCGACGGTATGTGTTTACTCACTTCCTGATCTATTGAGCCGACATGTGACAGTTTCATTGTCACATATCGGCTCGAACTATGAGGTTGAGTGAACATCATTTAACCTCATAGTTCTCCTTTAAGGGTCCGTTTACACTGTTGCGTTACCACACACACATTACCGCAGAAGGGAATGTAACTGGATGAGCAACCAAACTACTTAGGAAGACTTTACTCCTAGTATGCATCTAAAAGTTTTATATTCACTGGAGTGTTTTTAAAGGAATAACAGTGGCCATAAATAACCTAGTTTCAAGCATGTCTTTTGATGATCGGGCTGACTTGGACCTCCTAGAGAGCAATAATAAAAGTATGTAACAGTGTCCATTGCTTATTCTTAAAGATTATGATTACTGGCATTATTACAGGTACAGTAAGCTCCCCATTATCCTGCATTCAAGCAACCAGGAAAAAAAAAATGAGGACATATGTAGCTATTGAAATTTGAAATAGTTAATAGTAACTCTCAAGCAACCACACACTACAGTTATCCGACACCTACCAATCCCCATGGGTGCTGGATAACTGTGAGTTTACTGTATTTATATAGTGCCGTCAATATACACAGGGCTTTACATACTGTATATTCACATCAGTCCCTGCCCTGAAGAAGCTTACAATCCAAGGTCCCTACCTAACATACATACACATACTAGAGCCAATTTAGACAGGAGACAATTAACCTACCAACATGTCTTTGGAGTGTGGGAGTAAACACTAAGGACAAGGACCCCAGTGCTAACCACTAATGTTTCAACTGTAAAATCTTCCTGTGAGTGGGAATGATACTTCTCACTTCTACTCTTCTAAGGTTAAAATGGAAAGACAAGTGTGTTGTTGTCACAGTCAAGCAAGAACCATTGAGGCTGCACCACCTCAGTGGCTCAGAGGATGTGCAGACACTTCCCTCCTGTCGTTATTGGGAAGATTTGTGCCAATCTATGGAAATCCTCATAAGCGGTCATCAATAGCAACGCATATGTAGAAACCACATATACAGTTTCTGTTCTCTTGGCATGGTCTGCAGTCCTACCATGAAAAATGTAAATGCATATACACTGCCTGGCCAAGAAAAAGTCAGACACTCTTAATATTTTGGTGGACCGCTTTTAGCTTTGATTACAGCACGCATTGGACCAGGCTTTATTACTCTTGTCCAAATTACTCCTACAGCCTCTCACGTCTTCTTGTGGTTGTTGCTAGGACAGAATGTAAGGGGGGAATCTCCCAATGTGGCACAGACAGCAATAAACACTTGACAAGTCCTAGAGTTGAGCATGTTGAAAATTTAAACAAAAAAGCTCCTTCACACCAGGGAGAGCATTACGGTACATTCATGCTTCATTGAAAGATGAATAATTTATATTCTATTGGTCCTCTGAAATAGGCACTAAAAAAACATTAACAGGGTTATTCAAAAAAGGGTGAAGAGTCTGGAGAAGGCACAAGTCAAAAATCTAGGACAACATAGCTGAACTGGAAAGTGAACTGAATTGGAGCATTTTTCCAAATCAGCTATGTTGTCCAACATTGTTCACTTCTCCTGTCTTCTCCAAACTCTCCTCCGTTTTGTGAATAACCCTGATAGACTATGACCCATTCAACCTGTCATTAAAATTCACACATGAATCAAAAGGGAATGTGTGGCAAAAGTGTATCATATTCTTACTATGGGTAAGCCGCTTAAAGCAATATTTTGGGTTTCCTCGCTTTTAACAAGCTATTTGCTAGAGCTGACATGAAGCTTTCTAAATTTATGGATTCCAATTCACAATTAGAGCCATATCAGAGGCTTGGATAGATGAAGGGACAAAAGCTGGTGCAGATAGGTTACTTTACTATACGACCAGTTTATTTAATGGTTGATAAAGTGTCAGAAGAGTTGTAAGTTTGCTAGCTGAGTGCTTGTCTTTATGGTAAATCTTGCTTTGAGATGTTGTGCTAATTTTACCTTTATGATGCTGAATTTAAAATACACTATCAAAGTTGAACCAAGAATGAGATTAAATACTTTTTGCTTGCTCTCACAAACTTCCTCCACTTCGTAAGAGTAGTCCTCTCAAGGTGCCCAACTGGTTGCAGCTCTCTGACCTCATCACATACAATGCAGGACCAGTGCTACATGAGTGATACATTGTTCATGACGATGTTGAGGGTCACCCCACATTCCAGGAGCCTTAGACAGGGGAGGAGGCTT